TCAGCAAGTTCAGTCCAAGAACAGATGTATTTTCAGAAGTCTTTAAAAACTCCAGAATTTCATGAAGTAATCAATAGGTAATTCTTGCCACTATTATTGTCAAAGTGCATGCATCTTCTAGTTGTTTGTGTATTATCCCCCCTCCCTTGTTTTATTGTAAGCCGCCCGGAGTCCTTCGGGAGTGGGCGGCATACAAATCAATAAAACTATAAACTATAAACTGTGTTAATTAAGTGTAAAATGCATTTGCTTTCATCTTGGACAAAAATTCATTTCAGTGATGATATAATGAAACAGTTGCAAGAGACATGCAAAGTAAGCTATAGGAACTCTAGAAATATGTAAAGCTTTCGGATTTGGCAAATATTTCCTGGATAAATTTTTAATATAGGTAGTAGTTATGCTCATCATGGAACATTTTAGACAAAATATTTCTGAATAGGATTATTCTGAAAGTATCCTGACACTGAAGCGGATCATTCAGGTCCAGACATTTCTGGATTCCCCAGAACAGACTATTTCAGTGTCAGAATAGTCCAAAAGACAGAACATTTGGACATTTAATAGACAAAGCATGTTAAGCTCCTACAGAAAACTAACAATCCCTAAATCTCTAGGGATTTTGAGGGCAGAAATCAGAGAGCTAGCAGAAATGCTGTACGCATTTAAGAAATGGGAAGCCTTGGGATCCAAAAGATCCTCACTTTTGCCTGGGCCACAGTCCGTCACATCTTGTTTTAGAGCTGTTTGTGGTCAGAGATTTCAGATCTTGGAAATCCGACCATTCTGGAAGTTTATGAAATGCTAGAAAGAAAGAAAAAATCAAAGTTATTTGTCAATCAAAGATCAGAGACTTCCCCAGCAATGATATGTAAAATTCAATCTATCCTATGAGTCCTAGAATCATAGTGCCAAGAACTATGTCCTAAAGCACAAATGACATTGATATCATCATCTTCTTCTTTTAACAAATCCATAATCCCTTGCGGGGTGGAGTCTGCGCAATTGAATGGAACTAACAGAGTGCTTTAATGGCCGGATGCCCTTCCTGTCGCCAATGCAGTTTTGTTCAGCAGGTATCTTCTCAGTGTGCCCAGAGAAATATCTGCCTCTACCTAGGATCGAACTCACAGTTTCCTGATTGTGAGACTAGAGCTCCACCTCTAGGCCATTGCACCCACTCCAAAGGACATTAATTGATATCAATGACAAATATCCCTCTGTTCCTACATTTCTATTCTAGTTTAAAATGCTTCAGAATTATCAAACTTTTTCATGTATAATCTTCAACAGAATATTAATGATTCACTAAATAAACAATGAATATCATACTCTTATGTAATATTGGGGATATGTAATATAGGTGTAATCATCCTATACTAATGATGATAAAATGAACCTAGGAAAAGTACAAAGCATCATTAATGTTATACCACTTTCCAAAGCAGAAGAAATTTGGAGATAGATTATGGCATGTTAGTGTTAGAAATACAACTATGATAAAATAGAAATTATATCGGATACCAAGTGCTCCAAAATCCACCAAATGAAACTTTTGTAGAATCATAGTTATT